GACGTAGGAACCGGAACTTGAAGCTGGACTTTAAACTGGTCTCCTTTAAACTGAACCCCCCCCCCATAATGAGCCAAAAACCCAGAGGACTCCGCGGGGGAGGAACAGTGGACGATCGGGAGACCAGACAAACACTAAAACCCTCTTTCCACTTGGCAGCTAGGATCCAGGACATGAACCAAATAAAACTGAAAAGACAGACTAACAAAAATACAAGCAATGATCTGGCTCTGAATGCTCAGGCTGAACTGAATATAAACCAGAGGAAACAGGTGAGAGGAATAAATTATAATTGAGGCAGGGAAGGAAGAGGGCAGGTGAGAGGAATTACTAATTAAGGGAGAGCAAACAGGCCAGATCATGACAATTTGCTGTTTTTAGGGACTGCGGGAAAACGCCTGATAGAAGGGACGTGTTTATTATCTGAGTCAAATCAGACGCTATGACAGGCAAAACTTTCTTAAAAAAAGCTGTGAGTAGAACATTAAGGCAGCAGGCGGAGGAACTTAGCTGCTGAATGATTTCCTCTAAGCTTTTGTAGTTTATTCGGCTGAATTGGGACATTTGGCCAAGATCAATTCCAGTTGGAGACAACTTTGGTACTGAACTTGATATGGATGTATAAACTGATCCTCTGATCTTTAGGAAGAAATTGGCAAATTCATTGCAGGCCCTGGTGGAGTGGAGTTCATCAGCCACGGGCACAGGAGGATTTGTGAACTTGTTGACTGTGGCAAATAACGCGAGAAGAAAGATTCTCTTGCATTTTTCAGATGTAAGTTATATCTGTGAAATCTCTCTTTATAGATGTCATAGTGAACCTGGAGTCTCGTCTTTCTCCACCTGCGTTCAGCTTTTCGACAATCCCTTTTTTCACTTCTAACTGCTGGAGCACTTCTCCAAGGAGATTTTTTCTTTCCAGAAAAGACTTTTACTTTAATTGGAGCAATGCAGATAATGATGTGTGAGACTTTAGACTGAAAGTTATCTACTAGCTCATCTACTGAGTTACAGCCCAAAGTTGAAGTAGCAGAGTAAGCTTGAATAAAAGTTTCTCTGGCATTTTCCTTAAAGGTGCGTTTTCTTATGATGTCCCTTTGGCTAAATGAGTCACTGAAAATGATGCCCTCAAAGGTAACAGAAAAGTGATCAGATAGGGCAACATCAGTAACATTGACTTTAGAAATCTTCAGACCTTTAGTGATGATCAAGTCTAAAATATGTCCCTGTTTGTGTGTTGGCTGTTTAAAATGTTGAGTTAAACAATGGAAAGTAATCAGAGTCAAAACAAATTACAGGTACTTTGGTTAAAAGTAACATGTTATGAATAAACCTTGAGTAAGAATCTGGTTTGTTATGGGAAGAAGTTATGTCTGGTCTACAAACACCCTCACACAGAGAATTGTGAGGCCTTGCAGGTGAAACAGACTAAGTAAAATCTTTTATAGTGAGTAAACAGGATAAATTAATATATAAACTAAGAGAAATCTAAATTTGCCTACAACAGAACACCTCTGAAATTTCTGGAACGTGAGGCAGCATCTGAGGTAGCCATAGAATCTGAACCGAGTTTTGGCTGTTTTGATCCAGTTGAACTTTCAGAAATATTAAAACTATTATCTCTATCTAAGCATTCAACTTGTATGTTAGATCCAGTTCCAACCAGGTTAAAAGTAAAAAGGAAGTATTGCGTCCTATATCCACCTCCATCTTAGATGTACTTAACAGATCCTGGTACAGAGATATGTATCTCAGAATATTAAGGTAGTTGTAATTAAACCTTTACTTTAAAAATTCCCAACCCACATTACTTTGTCAATTACCGGTATATACTTTTATACCTGATTATCTAAAATAAACCTTTGGACTAATCTGACTGTAGGATCTGGTTTATTTATCTCTGTGGCTTGCCTTAAGAGGACATGTGTTGTGAGTTAGCACTATATAATGAAACTGTATTGAATTAAACAGCGATTAATCTTTTTTAAGGTTCTAAATTTATAGGTTCTAAAGGAGAAACAACAGGGTTGAAATTATTTTGCAAGCTGCAACAATAGAAACAAAAGCTGCACCAAGTTTTATTAAGCACATACTTTACAAAATCTAAATTAACTACTAGATCTCCCCCAAAAGGTTTCACAAGGTGGGATTCGGTTGGATCTAGCCTTTTAAGGTGTTTTCACTAATGTGTGAGTCATGCTTACACATAACTAGTGTAAATCAGTGTAGCCATTGAAACTAAGTACACACATCATGAAGTAATGCATGTTTGAATGCATGGGAAGGTTGTTGGTTTACTCTATTTGTTCCTCTTGGTTTAAGAGTCTGCTTTTGTTTCTGGGAACTGATACCACACAGTTCACTTCTAAACTTTTTGTGTTTTTGTGTTTTTTTTTTGTGTTTTTTTTTTTGCTTTAGAGTCTTGGTATGCTGGAAACTCCCACAAAGTGTTTCCAGAAAACGTGGCATTGTCAATTTAGAAGTGTTTTTCTTGCAACTGAAACAGGATGTGCAAAAGGACATGTTAAATAAAAGCATAATAATGCAAGCTTGTATACATTTTACAGAACCAACCCCTTTCATCAATATTCTTTAATAGTTTTTAATTGTATTTAATATATTTTTTTATATTCTGGTCTGTGTTGTAATGCTGTATGTCATGGAGCTGAACATTTTGACCTGCAGGTAATTCACATTTATTACTATTCTGGGTGGGTGGGGGAAAGCAATGACCAAATGCAGAAAATGCTGTCAATCATTAAACCAGACCAGCATGTTTTCCATTTTCCAATCTATATTTAAAACTATTGAAAATTTAAACAAATTAAAACTATAGAGACAATGCTATTTAGATTTGCCAAAAGAAAGTTACGAGTAAATAATAAATGTATTAATTGAAATAATTTATTCTTTGTTTTTTTAAATAATGCCAAATGATTACTAAGAGGGATGTTAATGTATTTTAATAGAAGATTTTGTGACAATCACCTATTTTTGAGATACTGTTGCAGTAGTTACTAGTTTTTCAGATCCACTATCTGCAGTTGTTTCCCATTCATCTATAGAAATTAGCTGAAGCTTAGTCAGATTAGATCAAGAGCATTTAATGAAAAAAATTTTCAAGTCTGCTCACAGATATTTGATTGGATTATATTTATTATGTTTTGATCTGAAATGCATCACTCCAGCACGTTTTCCCCTGAGCTTTTTATTTTACTTTAAACATCTTATTTAATTTGTCTTAATTACTTTATTCCATTCAAAATATGTTTAAAGATTGTATCTCTTCTCTAAGCCCCTGGTATTTCTCTAGTTTTTCATGTTCTTTTTTCCTTTTGTTGCACTCACTTGGTATTGCTATGTCAACCACAACGGCTTTCCTCTGCTTTTTGTCCCCCTTCACAATGTCCGGTTGGTTTACCATTACCATTCGGTCTGTCTGTATCTGGAATCTATCGCTGGATCTTGGTTCGGTCGTTCTCTACCGCCTTTAGAGGTGTTTCCAACTTTGACCTTGGGGTTTCCAGCCCACACTCTGCACAGATGTTGGAAAGGACTCACACCACAAGAGACTTTTGATGAAATTAAAGTAACTTTTGGCGATGATGCCCGTTATATGACCTTGCAAAATGTTGTACAAGGTTATATTATGGGACATTATCACAATAAGTTACTTTCATTTGATCAAAAGTCTCCCATTGTGTGCGTCCTTCCAAATGCAAAAACTCACAGTTTCACTGTCTCCCAGACATCCCCTTGGGGATGGAGTATG